TAACAGAAAACCTACGCGATTTCATGTGTTAACACGCGTCTTAAGGAATGTGAAGTAAAGTATAAGAATCACATTTATGTTACGAAGGTGATATGATAACCTTATATACAATGAGGATGTTTAAATCACAGGAGGTGTTAAATCACTCAGTGAGTGTTTAAATCACTCAGTAGGTTATAATCACTCAGTGAGGTGCTATCTCATCTGTGAGGTGATCTCACTCAGTGAGGTTCTATCTCACTCATGAGTGCTATTCACTCAGTGAGGTGCTTCTCACTCGTGAGGTGCTATCATACTTCAGTGAGGTGCTAACTACTCATGAGGTGCTATCTCATCAGTGAGGTGTACCTCACTGTGAGGTGCTATCTCACTCAGTGAGGTGCTATCTCATCAGTGAGTGCTATCTCATCTGAGGTGCTACCATCAGTGAGGTGCTATCTCAACTCAGTGAGGTGCAAATACTCACTCAGTGAGGTGGCTATCTCACTCAGTGAGGTGCTATCTCACTCAGTGAGGTGCTATCTCACTCAGTGAGGTGTTATCACTCAGTGAGGTGTTATCTCACTCAGTGAGGTGTTATCTCACTCAGTGAGGTGTTATCTCACTCAGTGAGGTGTTATCTCACTGAGGAAACACCTCATCTTGTGTGTGTTTGTTTGTATACCAATATTCGTGCCTTTGTGTATGATTTCTTTGTACATGAGCGACATAAACTTACTCGTTACTCAGAATGTAACGTTTTCGAACAATTGAGGGCAAACAAATGCATTTTTTTTCGAGTTCCTTTTATTACATTGTTAACATGATAGCCACACGTGGATAGAACGCTAACAAAGCTGCACCAGCCACTCCGAGTCCTCTGTTAACCAGAGATCAAGACTATCATTATGGCAAGGTCTGGAGAGTGTTTTAACAGGGAGTTAGAGATGGTGCTGGTGGGCCCTGCACATCCTCACACATCCCGACACAAGCTAAAGCAAACCTACGTTTTTATTTCCGTACGCATAAACACACACACACACACACACCGGTGCACACACCAATAGGTACATATGCACAATGCATACAGGAGTACATGGGACTGTTTTATGTGTGCCACATATGAACACTAACAGATGTATGTACTGTACATACTTGACTAATGTTGAGTTCTCGCTATCTAAAAGCATCTCTGCAACTGTCCAGTTTTACACATATGTACAAACTTTACGTTACCGTCACCTTAACACCTGGATAACATAAACCACACATTTCCTCATGACAGGTATTTACAAACTAGGAAATAACCTCTGTTTTAGCCCAGATATTTGTGATTTTCATGATACAGCGAACACTTAGTAAATCATTGTATATACACTGACTCTCCTCTCACCGACGACATGTAAATCAGATGATACACGACTTATTGATCACTCAAGCACGAACACTTAGACTTTTATGAGCCGTTTACAACCCCTAAATACTTGGAAATTTATGAAATTGTAGATTATCATCGTTAATGGCTCATTTACACTTAAAACTAAATTTGTAAATGCTCTTTACATCAAAAAGCATAACAGGATTTTAATTTTCAATAAATTATTTTCATTCACAGTACAATATCTCTGAACATTTATAGGTATAAATAGATATCTTAGACACTAATACAAAGTCAGCGATGCTATCCAAGTATGGCAGTCTTCCCCCCCCCCCTCTTCTCTATCACACACACTCACACACATACACTTGCATCACACAGAAATAAGACATTCTTTACATATTCTACACAAAAATATCTTATCATTATCACCATGTGGTAGATGGAAGTTCGTAGACAAGTATGCTCCCCCTTCCCATACGTGCTAAGAACCTCACCACTGCCCTGGCTACATCAGAAGTAAACCCAGCTAGGTGGGCATCTCTAGGTATGTTGGCAGGTGCAACAAGTGAAGCTGGGACACCGAGCTGCCAGAGTGGGATCACAAGACACAGTGAATAAGACAACAAAACACTAGGCCTCTGTTGTTGGTTGACTAACCAGTACAACACATTAGCTTGACTAATACACATGTGCGAACCTTAAAATGAGGTATGTGAGAGTCAGCTCATAATTCGTCCTGTCTCCCAGGTTAAACAGTTATATGTATAGCTCTGCAAATATATACAAAGAGACATTCTTTGATGTAAGTTTTAGCAAGTTTAGGTTGTTAAGTTAGCTTTGCTGCAAAAAAAAAAAATATGATAGCCATAATTTGCAAAATAATATATAGCTATTTTTCCTGGGAATGGAGGTAATGATCTGGAGATTCTTATTGGACAAAGTATTGTCGAGAACACAACTACCTTCACTAATAACTACAAATAAATTATGTCAATGGGACCCTTGTTATCCCCCAGTTGGGGTCCCCGGACTCCAGTTTGGCAGCTAAAGTGATTGGTTTAAAATGATTAAAAATACATATATATGAGATTCCGTCGCCAGCACAGTAAGGTCCATTAATGTGTTATAAAACTAAGTAATGGAGCGTAGTGTAGCGGCAGCCTGAGTCTTTGTCTCTCATACTAAGCTGATTTACAAATGGTGAAGTAACAATAATACCATGAACTCTTTTTTATATATTAATTTCATACATTCATGCCTACACAAGATACACACACACACACACACACATTTATATATATATATATATATATATTATATATATATATATATATATATATATTATATATATATATATATATATATATTATATAGTATATATACTATATGTGTGTGTGTGTGTGTGTGTGTGTAACATATTTTTATATATAGTAATATCACATGTTTGTTTCATAAACTGTAGCATAAATATATGAGATAATGTTGTGGCTAACACAAACATCAATATATACTGTAAAGGGTCGAGTGATTGTTCTGAGAATGATGTTAAAAATAAATGAAGATACGCTCGTGCACTGCCATGTCGTGAATTTATGAACATATTAACTGCCATGTCATGAGCACTGCATATGTGAAGATATATACTGTCCTGTCATGAATATATGTGGATATACAGTATACTGTCATGTCATATGTGTATATGAACATATATATTTCCCTGACTTAAGAAAATGTATAATGAAAAATACTGTTATAATGTGAAGGCTCAAGTCTGGTGGTGACAACAATAATGAAAATTAAACGGACATAAACGTGACGAACTCAACATACATGGTAATTTTAACAGAAATTATTAATTCATCATGTAATAATAAATCGATATCAACGAACTGAGAAACGAAAAAAAATAATTCACCTCACTAACAGGCTGGTTTAACAAGATTAAACCAAACCTTGTAAAATCAGGTAAGGTATTAAAACTTTAAAAGGCTTTTATTCTCCGTTATTTATCAACACCTTTTTTTACTAACTCTAGTTTAGCCTTGTCTAACTGCAATAATACCATCCTTTGTCCAGGCATATATGTGCCTCAACCAATTTTTGTGCAAGCGTATCTAACTGCATCAGTGCCAACTCTTAACCAGGTAAGTCCAACTAAACCTTCAACCTGAATCCATATATTTCTAACCATAAGTCATCACATGCCTCGGTATGACTAACTAGGCTGAAGCCAGCAACATAAACAGTCATGAGTCTACTTAAATCATTTGTTTTCTATGTGTGTTTACTAACCACCATACACACCACCTAACTATATTACCTAAACAATAAATAATTAAAAACTTAAGCATCCGATTTTTTTATATATAAAATGTTGTACCTCATTCACTGCATCATTCATCTTCTAAAATCTATTTAATAATACGTATAAGCAATATTATCATAATTCGTTATACTCAACCTGGAATCTTGATACTGCAAAGATAGAAAAATAGATTAACTTTGCTATACTCTCTCTGTCTATGTGATTTCAGTTTTTGAAAATATATCGCAACTGTGATTAAAAGTTAAAAGGACTGATATTGTTTCAGTAATATAGAATGTATCGTGTATTAGATTAGAGAACTAGAAGACAATTGAGTAAACAGCATGTATGATCAGTGTCATACTTGGTTCCTAAAATAGTATGAACTGTGTCATAAGTCTTCCCTAAGACAGTATGAGCTGTGTCATGTCTTACCTAACACAATATGAGCTGTGTCATGTCTTACCTAACACAATATGAGCTGTGTCATGTCTTACCTAACACAATATGGGCTGTCATGTGTGTATGTGTGTGTGTGTGTGTGTGTGTGCGTGTGCGTGTGCGTGTGCGTGTGTGTAACTCACTCTGTATCAATGTATATACGAGCTTTTAACTTTACTGTTTACGTGATATATAAAATAGCGTTTTAGCAATTAGTATTTTAGTAATGAAAGAGAGGGAGAGAGAGAGAGAAAGAGAGAGAGAGAGAGAGAGAGAGAGAGAGAGAGAGAGAGAGAGAGAGAGAGAGAGAGAGAGAGGGAGGAGAAGAATCATAAAGGAAAAATATTTACATGTTCTTCTATATACATAAGACATATGTCTACTGTAGATGTGGTGAAGGGACTGAGATGTGAGGCAGACATAAGATAGTATCATATAAACACTATGTCTATCACACTCACTCACCACTACATAATCAGCACCGTATTATATTACAAGTTTAAAAAAATATTCTATTGGCATATACCCCCTAAGGAGTGTCTGGTTTCCTTTACTCTATATTTAACCTCTGTACAACGTTTCTCCTTCATGTAGAGAAGAAACATCGGGCATTGTTACATGGCATAATACCTGGCCAGGTATTCATGGATATTGCAGTTGGCACCACATCACAATAATACATATTTTGTAACTTTTGATCAAAAAATTAATATATATTTTCTTCAGATCTTCAAGCCATAATATGATTGATTTAAATTGTGTATCTCATATTTACACGATATTTACACCCAATCCTGTGACTACAAATCCATGAGAAGACATCATTCTTGAAAATATATATATATATATATTTATATATATATATATATATATATATATATATTATAACAATGAGTATGCTTCGTAGGTCTACAACAAATGTGGACAACATAACAATATCTTCGTCAGTGATGAAGATGTGTGAGTGGCGTCCTTCTCGTCTAGACGCTGCCTCCCTCAACCTTCCTGACGTGAAATTAACTTGCTACAACAGCGGCTCTTATCCTAGTGCAAAGTTTTCTCTTCCTGTTGAAATTTTCAGCTTGATCATGTTTTACCATACATTGCTATAATGACGAAAGTGAGTTTCTCCCTACCATTCATGACGTAGTTCCCATTAGTGTGTGTTTGGACGAGCTTCAGCCATGGTTTATTAACTGCCACAGTGTTGGTTGCTAGTGTTGAGACAATGTGTATCTTAAGAATCCTCTACATTATTAATATCTAAATTAGAGATGATTATGTTAAAAAAATATCCGTAGCAATCTTCCATAGCGCTGCTCTCTGATTTAGAAAGAAATACTAAATTTTTCACAATAAATGTTTTTCATGGCATTGTTCACTCTTTTAACTGATAACAGCTTGTGTGAGGCACTCCTGTCATATCATTTTGTGTTGTTTACCACAGCCTGAGGTAGACTCCCAGTGTTTATACATACTGGTAGGACACGGCAGGGAACTTGGTGTTTTTGGGAGTAGTAAGTGTACCTCCATAGTTCCTGGCGTTGGCTCCGTTGGTTGCCTTCCTCAAGTTAGCACCGTTGCACACCCGCATTGGCTGTTGTCTGGCGCCATTGCTGCCACCACCCACGTCTGACACGTAGGTCTTCATCGAGATGTGTGATGACCCTGCGCCAAACACACACACATACACCAGGTTAGTGAATGTTGTGAGCAGTAGTGTTATAACAGTGTTATCACAATATTATCACCCCTCTCCGCCTTATCATATGTTTGCTATCACATATCCTTCACTATACTTTAGTCACGATTCATGTTGAAATGCCATCAAATGTTTGCAAACATATTCTTTAAGAAGAAATACAATTTGAAAGACAAGAAATTTCAACTTAGAGATTCATTTGCCGGAAAGGAAGAGACTGTGGAAGACACTTTTTTTTTTTTTTTTTTTTTTTTTTTTTTTACACAGGGTTTGACAAGGTTAAGGATCCCTAGCTTTATTGACAAGCTAAGAGCTATTATTATTATAATCAAAAAGAAGCGCTAAGCCACAAGGGCTATACAGCAAGCTAAGAGCTGTTACCTACATCAGCTCATTTGAAAGCATTTTTATTGTTATGAGACATACAAGAAGGGAACAGGATGAAGTTGGAGCCATCTCTCTCTCTCTCTCTCTCTCTCTCTCTCTCTCTCTCTCTTTCTCTCTCTCTTTCTAGAAGAAGGAATGGAACCGAAAGATAAGTGAGTAACAAGTGGAGAGAATAGAGGAGACAAGACGTTGATAACAAGTGGGGAGACGTGAATGTGACAAAACAAAATGCATTTATAGTTTGACAGGTGAAATGAAACATAAAATGAAAATGTATAGCTTATTTAGATGATTTTTTTTGGACACTGAAGAAATAATTCTGAGAAAGGGGTGCTGTAACCAGAGAATAGCATTTAAATAAATAGCAACAATAATGGAGTGTCTGACCATCGCAGGTTACCCTGTGCAGGGTTTCAGGCGAACCAGAGCAGGAGATCCTAGTGGTGTGGACACGGGTCACTTCCTTGGGTTCACTCTCGTAGTGGATGCAGGGCAACCAGCCGGAGAACACCTTCTTAAACCCATTGCGGAACCTGACGGAAGCACAAAAGAAGACCAGGAGGTAGACGCTACAGCCAGAGTACACAGGTGGGAGGGCGGGACACGGGAAGGTGGGCACAGGTTCGTAGGTAAATGGCTAGGAACTTGTTTGGGCATACAATAAGACTACACGGAGGAAACCAAGTACTTCCTGAAAACACGGGTGTATCAAACATGGGAGGTTGGGAAGTAAATGTTACCATTATATAAGCTAATGGAGTGGTCGAAACTGGCAACAATTAAATAAAACGGAAGCTTAGTTTTTTCATCATATGCAGTTACTATAAAAGCTTAAGAGGGTAGAAGTATATATATATATATTATATATATATATTTATATATAATATATATATTATATATATATATATATATATATATATATATATATAGTACAATAGGCCTGCTATAATATCTACACTCTACAGATACAAGGGAATTACACCAGCTGCAGCTACAGTATATACATTCAACAACTACAAGAAGAAGCAACAAGTGGTGATAAAAGAATAACTACATATAAGAGAAGGACACACAATACATACAGAAGGAACAGAGGCTAGTGATAAGGTCACTCGTATCGTAACCCTCGCAGGCACAAAGAGAACACTTTCTTGAAACCATTTCGAAATCTGTTGAGAAAAAATGAAAATTAATAGCAAGATAAATAAAGGACGATAAATAACGAAGGAAGACAGAGCAGAAAATAAATATAGAGGATTAACAGAAATGTTCAAGTAGACAGTGAAATATTTAATGAATGAAAAAAGACATGGAGGAAGAAAAATAACAAAATATTAGGAAAAAGTTAATGAGTATGATATGGCAACAAAATCTAAGTCAATGAGCAAGAGATAGTAACACCGGGTGAATCACTTAACAAGATAGCAACACCGGGTGAATCACTTAACAAGATAGCAACACCGGGTGAATCACTTAAAAAGATAGCAACACCGGGTGAATCACTTAACAAGATAGCAACACCGGGGGAGTCACTTAACAAGATAGCAACACCGGGTGAGTCACTTAAGATAGCAACACCGGGTGAGTCACTTAACAAGATAGCAACACCGGGTGAGTCACTTAACAAGATAGCAACACCGGGTGAGTCACTTAACAAGATAGCAACGCCGGGTGAGTCACTTAACAAGATAGCAACACCGGGTGAGTCACTTAACAAGATAGCAACACCGGGTGAATCACTTAACAAGATAGCAACACCGGGTGAATCACTTAACAAGATAGCAACACCGGGTGAGTCACTTAACAAGATAGCAACACCGGGTGAGTCACTAAACAAGATAGCAACGCCGGGTGAGTCACTTAAGATAGCAACACCGAGTGAGTCACTTAACAAGCAACACCGGGTGAGTCACTTAACAAGATAGCAACACCGGGTGAGTCAATTAACAAGATAACAACACCGGGTGAGTCACTTAAGATAGCAACACCGGGTGAATCACTTAACAAGATAGTAACACCGTGTGAATCACTTAACAAGACAGCAACACCGGGTGAATCACTTAACAAGATAGCAACACCGGGTGAGTCACTTAACAAGATAGCAACACCGGGTGAGTCACTTAACAAATAGCAACACCGGGTGAGTCACTTAACAAGATAGCAACAACGTGTGAGTCACTTAACAAGATAGCAACACCGGGTGAATCACTTAACAAGATAGCAACACCGGGTGAATCACTTAACAAGATAGCAACACCGGGTGAATCACTTAACAAGATAGCAACACCGGGTGAACCACTTAACAAGATAGCAACACCGGGTGAATCACTTAACAAGACAGCAAACCGGGTGAATCACTTAACAAGATAGCAACACCGGGTGAATCACTTAACAAGACAGCAACACCGGGTGAATCACTTAACAAGATAGCAACACCGTGTGAATCACTTAACAAGATAGCAACACCGGGTGAATCACTTAACAAGATAGCAACACCGGGTGAATCACTTAACAAGATAGCAACACCGGGTGAATCACTTAACAAGATAGCAACACCGGGTGAATCATTTAACAAGATAGCAACACCGGGTGAATCACTTAACAAGATAGCAACACCAGGTGAATCACTTAATAGGAAAGCAACACCGGGTGAATCACTTAACAAGATAACAACACCGGGTGGTTCACTTAACAAGATAGCAACACTGGGTGAATCACTTAACAAGATAGCTACACAAGGTGAATCACTTAACAAGATAGAAACACAAGGTGAGTCACTTAACAAGATAGCAACACCGGGTGAATCATTTAACAAGATAGCAACACCGGGTGAATCACTTATCAAGATAGCAACACAAGGTGAATCACTTAACAAGATAGCAACACGAGGTGAATCATTTAACAAGACAGCAACACCGGGTGAATCACTTAACAAGATAGCAACACCGGGTGAATCACTTATCAAGATAGCAACACAAGTTGAATCACTGAACAAGATAGCAACACCGGGTGAATCACTTAACAAGTTAGCAACGCAAGGCGAATCACGTAACAAGATAGCAACACAAGGTGAATCACTTTACAAGTTAGCAACACCGGGTGAATCACTTAACAAGATAGCAACACAAGGTGAATCACTTAACAAGTTAGCAACACCGGGTGAATCACTTAACAAGATAGCAACACAAGGTGAATCACTTAACAAGATAGCAACACAAGGTGAATCACTTAACAAGATAGCAACACAAGGTGAATCACTTAACAAGAAAGCAACACCGGGTGAGTCACTTAACAAGATAGCAACACAAGGTGAATCATTTAACAAGAGATAGCAACACAAGGTGAATCACTTAACAAGAGATAGCAACACAAGGTGAATTACTTAACAAGATAGCAACACAAGGTGAATCACTTAACAAGAGATAGCAACACAAGGTGAATCACTTAACAAGATAGCAACACAAGGTGAATCACTTAAGAGATAGCAACACAAGGTGAATCACTTAACAAGATAGCAACACAAGGTGAATCACTTAACAAGATAGCAACACCAGGTGAATCACTTAACAAGATAGCAACACAAGGTGAATCACTTAACAAGATAGCAACACCGGGTGAGTCACTTAAGATAGCAACACAAGGTGAATCATTTAACAAGAGATAGCAACACAAGGTGAATTACTTAACAAGATAGCAACACAAGGTGAATCACTTAACAAGAGACAGCAAAACCAGGTGAATCACTTAAGAAGATAGCAACACAATGTGAATCACTTAACAAGATAGCAACACAAGGTGAATCACTTAACAAGATAGCAACTCAAGGTGAATCACTTAACAAGAGATAGCAACACAAGGTGAATCACTTAACAAGATAGCAACTCAAGGTGAATCACTTAACAAGAGATAGCAACACAAGGTGAATCACTTAACAAGAGACAGCAAAACCAGGTGAATCACTTAAGAAGATAGCAACACAATGTGAATCACTTAACAAGATAGCAACACAAGGTGAATCACTTAAGAAGAGATAGCAACACAAGGTGAATCACTTAACAAGATAGCAACACAAGGTGAATCACTTAACAAGAGACAGCAACACAGGTGAATCACTTAAGAAGATAGCAACACAAGGTGAATCACTTAATAAGATAGCAACACAAGGTGAATCACTTAACAAGATAGCAACACAAGGTGAATCACTTAACAAGATAGCAACACAAGGTGAATCACTTAACACGATAACAACACAAGGTGAATCACTTAAGATAGCAACACAAGGTGAATCACTTAACAAGATAACAACACAAGGTGAATCACTTAACAAGATAGCCACACCAGGTGAATCACTTAACAAGAGACAGCAACACCAGGTGAATCACTTAACAAGAGAGAAATATACACAAAAACTGGAATTGAGAGTCAATAGGAGCTACTGTGTCATTTGTACCGTCCGTCTTGTCTGTGTCACATCACCTGTACACCGTGGTCTGGGTGTCACATCACCTGTACACCGTGGCCTGGGTGTCACATCACCTGTACACCGTCTCCTGGGTGTCACATCACCTGTACATCGTGAAGGTGAATCAACAAGAGATAGCAACAAAATGTGAATCACTTAACAAGAGATAGCAACACAAGGTGGATCAATAAACAAGAGATGGCAACACAAGTTGGCTCAATAAACAAGTCATAACAACGCAAGGTTGATCAATGAACATAATGTAGCAACACAGAGTGGATCAAAAAGCAAGGGAGGGCAACACAAGGTGGATCAATGAACACGAAATGGCAACACAAAGTGGATCAGTAGACAAGAGATGGCAAGACAATGTGATTCAGTAAATGAGAGATTGCAAGACAATGTGATTCAGTAAATGAGAGATTGCAACACAAGTTAGATCAGTGAATGAAAGATGGCAAACTAAGTGGTACGGGTTACAAATAATGAACAGGAGATAGTAACACAAGGTGGTAGAGACGACAAACAATGAACAGGAGACGGCAGCACAAGGTGGTAGAGACAACAAATAATGAACAGGAGATAGTAACACAAGGTGGTAGAGACGACAAACAATGAACAGGAGAGAGCAACACAAGGTGGTAGAGACGACAAATATTAAACAAAAGACAGCAACACAATTCAGAGAGGTTTGTTAACAACAAAACTGATGCAATATTAACACAATAAGCAGAAAATACACTTTGAAAGCGAAAGTAAAAGCCGAGGACATACCTAAAAGGTTGAGAGAATGTCAGCAGGTAAATGTCAGCAGTTGAGTAAGCAGACGCATGTCAGCAAGTGAAAGTCAGCGGGTGAGTGTAAGCAGGTGAATGTGAGTAGGTGTTCTTGCACAATAGGCATAATTAAAGCAACTGAAGAGGATTCTTTGAAAGGGTTTGGTCATGTTGAAAGTAAGGAGGATGAAAGGCCGTTGACAAGGATATATGGTTCTGGAGTGGATAGAAGAGGAGTAGGACCCCCTCGAGGAATACAAGGGTACCTCGGCTCAAGGGATTATTCTTGGATAGT